TATCTCTTTGAAAACTACAAATTAAAAACATATATTAAATTGAAGGTGATCCAGTGATCCATTTTGACTGACAGACTTGACCAGCAGGGCACCCCTCACATAGTTCACTTCTTTTCTCAGGTCTGTTAAATTATACAGGTGACTTGGACTGTCCAGTTTATGGATTAATGTAGAGCTGTAAGACTTTTCACAGATTCTCTTCAGACTTTAAATTGGATTTATGAAGATTTAAGGGAGTAAGATGAAGAACTGGGAGTGAGTTTATTGTGAGTTTAATCTCCCTTTTTACATGGAGGAATTCTAACTAGTAGCCTTCTACATGTGCCAACTAGTAGTATTTTTAGTCAACCACTCACTGCACAGGAAATGATACGGTCAGTCTGTCCTAAGTCAGTTTAATTTTTAATTTTCTGAATGGATGCTCACTTTATCAGCACAAATTTAGTTTTCCACCACCCACCTCACTACCCACAGAGTTACATAACACAACCATGATACTTAAGTGGCAATTTTACACCTATAATAAATACATACAGTCTCATAAACAAAATGGTGAGAATACCACTTCCTACATTTTACCATTCCAGTTAAATCAAATGCCATAAGAGTATACACAATACACACTACATATGCGGTGTTAATGGGAAGAAAGTAATTATGTGTGTTTCTATTCCCTAATTCTCAGATCTAGTTAAACTGGGGTCAAATTAAATGTCCTATCTCACTACTTCAATATATGTCTAACTCATAAATTAAGTAATAATGGCCAGCAAAATAGGCTTCAAATCAGCTTCAGCTACATGTCTAGTAATTTGAATAGACTGAATATAGTAACTTTGTCTTGTCTAAAGAATATGAGCATTTTAGAGCAAAACATCAACATATTGGCACTAAATATAATAGTATACAGCATTTTCAAAGCATTCAGCATCAAACCCTCTCTTTCTGATTAGAATTATTAACAAAAGTTCCAGTTTGGTAGACTGAGCTGTAAACCTATAAGGCCAAGGCATAAAAATGAAATATGTAGTCTGCGTCTCTAGTGAGGTCTCTATTTACACACACTTATGAATTGTTGCACATTTTAATAAGTTCTGTCAATCTCAGTTATATTGCCACTGCAGCTACAGCAGCACTATAGGAGGAGAAGGCAAACATAAGTAGGGTAATGTACAAACACAGAACTCACTTTTACTTCAAGTCTGTGTGTAATATTTATCAAAATACAGAATAATCTAAAAAAAAAGTCAATGAGCTATAGGTATAGGTAATTTGTAGTACAAGCACATATATTTGTATTTAAAAATAGCTGTAGACTATAGGATAATTAAAAAAACATCTTGATCTGATACTTTGATTTTCGTGATATTCAGAGCTCAATAAGTAATCAAGTAGGTCACATGACTGTGTGAATGTTGTTTTTAAATAAGTTCATGAGTTCTTCTTCTCAACACATCACCTCATTTCTTTGTATTGTGTTAACTTGTATATGACAGTAAAAATATCTAGATTTAAACATGATTCAGGGTTTCTCTGTTTATAATGCAGCATTGAAAACAAACCACTCATCCACTCTTCCTATAGGTCGTATCTGGTGTCATAATTTTTGATATATATAACTTTACAAGCAATTTATTTGACAAAAATATCAAAATTTGTTATACAAAAAATGTTATTTTGCTCACCAGCTCAATTTTAGGGATTCATGCTATGAGTGTGAGTGACAAGTGAATTCAACCAATCACAGTGAAGTGTCAACTCTTGCAAAAAGCAGATAAGTTTGTTTAAGTTTGCCTTTATTTTGGCAACATTTGAGCAGAACAGAGAGCACAGAAAATACTCATGAGCGAAATTATAAACTGTTATAGTTTATACTATTGTGTATGGGTGTAATATTTGAAGTAGATCTGTTCTAAGATCTGCCTGTGAACACAGCTTTGTGGCGAACCTAATTCAGTCTCGCTATTCAGCTCATCCAGGTGGTGTGTTGGAAACAATGAGCATAGTGCTTAGATTTTATTTCATTGACAAGAACAAGCTGTGTATGCTGTAATGTGCACTATGTAACTTCACTGGTGAAGAGCCATTACCTGCTTGTTCCCTGGACTCTTTGTCTTTCTTCAAGTAGGCATAAGTGATGCTAGCTTTTCAACATTAAAAAACACCTGTAATTAAATAATGCAGGGTAGATTCAAGTTTAGTGCCATAACATTCCAGGCATAACATCCTCATTGATACGCAGCACAAACACATAAATAAATAGATATTCATTCAATCATATCATTCTTACTACAGGGTCTTTCACGATCTACTTTGATCAGGTTGTTATTATCGACATGTCTCACACTTTTCCATGGTGATCAATAGGCCTACATTATTTACATTGAGCCACTGATAGCTCAAAGTTAACGCCATTTTAGAGTTAATTGTTAAAACTAATTGCAACCGCGCCAATGTGAAATAAAAATACCAACATTTCGGAGTTACAATGCCATATCCATTTAGCATTTTTAGCTGGGCTCATTTTACTTTCACTGATGTGCTTTGAAGGCTTACCATGCCATGATGCTCTCAGGAGGAAAAAGCCCCCAGATTCCACTTTGTGGAAATGGATATCTGTTGCCCTCTGGTGGAGATGAGCTTTATGACAACTATTATTAACTCCGACATTTTTAGAAACCGATTAGCTCAGCCTTTAGGCTTTGTCAATGTAATGTAGCAGTAGATCTTATTTTATACTACGCTACATTTATATAATTAAAGATGACAGGGAAGATATTTTACTATGGCCTTTATTAAACTGGAGAGTGAACAGTGAACATTTTCATTCAGCTCCACATTTATTGAAAAATATTGTTTGAAAAACTAAATATTAGAACCTTACAAGGTGCTATATCTAACTTATTATTATTATTATTATTATTATTATTATTATTGCAATCAGAAAAATAATGAAATTACCTTTATTATCGCTAAATGCAGTGCAGTGCTTATCTCTCATTTAATGTCTCTCTTTCTCTCTCTTTTAAAATGTTATGATGATTATTTATATTTTGATTTGTCTGTATTGTGATTTTTATGCATTTCTTATACTGTCAAGCACTTTGAATTACTTTGTGTACAAATTGTGCTATACAAATAAACTTGCCTTGCATTGCTTTGCCTAGTGGAGTACAAAAGCCTCGCAGCAGCTAGAGGGGTACCTACATCATTCACTGGGGTTTCTGCACACTCAGCACTAATGCTCCACTGAACCCTCTTCATCCTGGCCAGCCCCTCTGCCTCTTGACCTGGAGCACTTTTAATACAATTTCCCTTTTCACTGCCAGGCTTCATGGGCCTATGAGACTATTACACTATACTTAACACTATCTTTGTCACCTTATATACTGTTAGCCAAAAGCAGGAACTGAAAAAGTAAAATCATACAATTTACTGCATGTGTGTGAAGCAAATTATACACATTTTAAAATATGCACAATTTCAATTCCTAAGTCTATTTCTAAATTTTTGGTTAATATGTCACGTTTACAGGAAAGTTGCTGTCTCCATCTCTCTTATCATTTATTGACGAGGATTTTTTTTCAGAAGGATTATGAAAAGAAACAATTTACTAATGTACTATCCACATGTGTCCCTGGCTACAGTGAAACTACTTGGTCATCTATTCAGTCTAGTGGAGTTGCAAAGGTCTCGGGCCCCCAAGCACACATTCACAACACTATTATCTTGTAGTCTACTCAAAATAATACAAAAAATTACTGCTGTTGTAGTTTTTCATCATCAGATATTAAAATTGTAGTCTTTTCAGTGCTTAAGTATAATTGCATGTAATATAATTCCACAAATAGTTCAACAGTATCATATAACACAACAACAAACCAAATCAACCTGGAAGTTTGAATATAATTTGCATTGCACTTAAGTCTGGATTCTCACTTTTTCATTCACATTTTTTTGCTCCTGGATTGAGCCAAATTCAGTCCTGATATAGACTTAGTTTGGTCATGTTCTAAACCTTGTTTAGTACTGGCCTTGCCCATTTTTAATGCGGTGAGTGTGAAAGTATGAATGTGTAAATTTACATAATTGTACTTTTTATACAATAAAAGACAAGATTTTACTTACTTACTTATCTACTTACTTACAATTACTATTTAAGACCCTTTAGAATACATTTCCAAAACACCTCAGATTTAGTTATCCAAAACAAAATTTTATCTCAGCAAAATGCAGTTTAACCACAAAAACTCTCAGACTTTGATCATGTGTTTTTGTGTGCTCTTTTATTTATTTGACAGTGCAGCTCAGAAGTCTTAGTCCTGCTCTCAGGGACCAGAGAATACCTGGTTTAGTGCAGTCTGAAATTGACATTGCACTTTACACAGATGGATGTGGGTCTAAAAAGGCTGTATTGTGTGCTCACTGCTGAGACCCCTTCTCCCTTTTGGAATCATTTGTTGTTAGATTTTGGGAGCTCCCAATTTTGACTTTTTGCAGTTATGTTGGAATTTATATTGAAAGTGACAGAGTTTAGGCCAAGGTCCTATCACATGAGCACAGACCTGTAGTGTTGAAAAAAACAAGGTGAATTTACTAATTCTGTGTGTTTGTGAGTGAGAGCTGTCTCCAGTGCTCTGAGAAAGAGCCTGAATTGTGTGAATGGTGAGAAATATTCCAAATGATTTGTCCACCTGAGCTCCTGTTCAGATATTTCAAATAAGTCATTAAACTAAACCAAGTTTCAGAGAAAAAAACAGCAAGTCAAAAAAAATGCCAACCATTATTGTACAGTTCTAGGCAATACTGAAAATGTATTTTACATTATATGAAAATGATCCTCTTGTCAGTGGATTTCAGATTAAAAACCATGTTAGCACCTATGCATTTAAACAAAAGCAGGCGCTGAAATAGAGTGTATATCTCTTTTTAAAACAGTACAGCAGAGAGTCCAAAGTCCAGAGCTAAATAGCTGCTCCATGGCATTTCTTCTTATGAGCTTAGACTCGGGTACCGTTTGACTCATATGGCTCTGTATTCTCTTTATTGGTTTGCTCCTCATTGTTTGACTGTTGTGAAATATTGGAGCCATTGGTTAAGCGTTTATGCACAGAAATATTTGAAAGGTGTGGCTTTTTTTGAGATGGTCTCCTGCAGTGAAGCAGTTCCCTGTACGCACTCTGGAAGTCCCTGTTAAAGGCTGGGTACAGGATGGGGTTCAGTGCTGAGTTGAAGTACCCCAGCCACAGTGCTATGGAGTGATATGTGTTAGGATGGATGGCCCTGCCTCTCATGCCCATAAAGGTGAAGTAGGTGAAGTATGGAAACCAGCAGATGATGAAGCCTCCAAGAACAGCAGCCAGAGTCACTGTAGCCTTGTGCTCTTTGGATATGGCTGCAGTGGAGGCAGTGCGGGCAAATGATGGTGTAGCTGCTCGAATACGACGCACCTGTGACAGAAAGAGAAACACCAAATATATTTATGAAAATGAGTCACTGAGCCATAATAGACTAAGGACAGAGATTATTTTGTGCCACTGACTTCAGGCACTGTTCTTCACATCAACTGGTACGTTTGGTTGCACCAGTCCCCATGTATGTACACGTCTTATATGCAACCAGATGTTTAAAGGTTTTATACTAAACAAAATTGACTCCTGTGAGCTTTAATGTTTAATAATTTCCTCAGCAAAACATACTGAACCACTGTAGTGGTTATTTTCAAGTTAACAGTTACCTTTACCTTTTGTGTTGTCCAGACTGCCAATTTCAGGAAATTATCTAGTTCTATGTATGAATTTTATTTAAAACAAGGACAGTGTACAGAAAACATTAATCTCAAAGAGAAAAATTGCTCTGCACCAGATTTAGCTAAAAGCTATTTTCCATCTGTAGTCCTTGGGCAGGTACAAAATACAGTACATTAAAGAAACTATTTACATTAAACCAACTCTAACAACAACATTTCATCAGTAATAGTGTCTCCTTAAAATAACCACAATCCAATTCATCATTAAACATTTAAAACAATCACAATTCATTCATTCTAATTTCCATAAATACAAGATTTAAAATTCATCATTATATTCTAAAAATACTCAATTAATTGTCACCAATCTCCTCTAAAATTTACTATTTTTAAATTCATCAGTACTATTATCCTCTTAGTTTGTACGACTATAAATGAAAGCAAAACTGGCATCTTTAAAAAATGAAGAAAAAATATATTTGGTCTCTTAAATATACAGTAAGTTGTAAGTGAAATTGTAAATGTAAACTTGCTGTTCATACAATGCCTTTCTTTCTTGGAATTCTATCATTGTTTAATAGGGTTTGGTATTAGAAATACTTTTTACTTCAACCTAAACCCTTTCGGTCATGATCCATGGGGTTGTAGTCTATGTTTTGTTTTGTTTTGTTTTGTAATGGTGCAAAATGACGAAATATATACTATACAGTCAGTCATTCTAGTGAAGGTGTATGGAGTTTTAAAACACAGAGGAGCACTTCCTGTATTACTTCACTATTTGAGAGAAGCACTCAGTCTAAAAATGCAGGATTTGTGTTAAACATGTTTGTGATGAGGAAACAACACCAGAAAACAGGTTAACATTGTCCCTTTAAACAACATAAATTTATGAATGTTACCTGTTCTCGAGCCACTCTAAATATACACAGGTACATCCCAGTCATGAGCAGCAGGGGCAGATAAAATGTTCCAGAGGTATACACAATCACATAGCTGTTATTCCATTCGTACAGGCAATATCGGCTCTCCTGATCCTCATCTCCTATGGTCCAGTCCAAGTGCTGCACATTGTAGTCTGCTGTGTTCCAGCCCATGTGCACAGGAAGGAAGGCCACAGCCAGTGAGCAGGTCCATATAGCCACAGTGGCCACTATGACTCTGACAGTGGTCACTCTGCGGGAGTAGCTGAGAGGGGCGGTGATGGCCAGATACCGATCCACACTAATGGCCATAAGAGTTAGAATAGAGGATGTACACAACATTACATCTATGGAGATGTACAGATTACACAGGATGCCCCCTAGAGACCACCGGCCCTTGCGCAACTCTACACTGGCAGACATGGGCAGCACCAGCAGTCCCAGGAGAAGGTCTGTGATGGCCAGAGACACCACAAAGCAGTTACTGATGCGCCACAATCTCCGGCTCAGCCCAACGGCCAAACACACCAGAACATTACCTCCAATGGTGATGATGATGTGGGAAATGAGGGCCAGCCAGAGAAGTGCCGTGGCAATCATAGTGGGCCACTTTTTCAGATCCCCTCTGAGCTCAGGGTGAAAGGCTCAAAAAAGCTGGGGAACAGTTCTGGACCATGGCACACCAAGCTATCTTCCGCTTTGTTAGTGTCATTCTATGTCCGAGTGCATTGAATGTGGTCACTCAGCTGAGTGTATGCCTGCAAAAAAAAGAAGAGAAAAAGAAATCATTGTGAGGTTCTATTGCAGTTTAACTTTACTTTTATGAACCTGTTTTTAACAACTTTACCAGCTTAACCAACTTTATGGCACATAGCAATCACAATGTGACTATTTTCAAACATACTCCACTTCAACTGTATATGGTGTGTATTTTTGCTCCAGGTGCTTATGATACCTTGCGATACTGCATATTAAAGTAAAGTATTGAACATCTGGCAGATTTCTTTTTATACATTTAAGATCTACTTGTATAAAGATTAGCAATAATTTTATAGTATTTCCTAAAAAGTCTATATGCAGTCTTTCCTCAGTCCTTAGCACGGAAAGAATTTACAGTTAACTCTGCTAATATAAACAGAACAGGATTGTAAAGTTAACAGTGGCAGGGCTGGGAAGGACAAGAGATTGAAACCCCCATAAAGCACAAATGTCATATCCATGTAAAATGTATATCTGCATTAATTTGTGTCCCCTGCACTAAAAATTAAATGTGTAAGTAATAGTAGAATTGTTGTAAATCTATATAAGGCAAACGTATGTTTACCATTCTGTGTCATAAGAGAGGAGTATCATTGAAGTTCACTTATGTTAGATTAAATTCAGCACTGGTTCATGTCATACTAATAAGTGCTCCAACTACATATGGCAAGGTACATTACTGATAGTCAGCTAAAGCTGTTCATGATGTAGATCAGTGTTTCTCAAACTTTTCATGCAAGGACCACCAGAGATTGTTTCTGAGTATCACCAGAGCTAAACCTGGACTATATCAGGTCTAGATAAAGGCTAAAAATTTCTAAAATTAAACTGACCCAGGTTTAAATAAGACTCTGGATAAGGTTCTAAATAATAATTAACCAAAAGAAAGATAAAAACACAAATACAATGTCTTTAAATAAAATAAATACTCAGACTGCAGAGGGCATCACATAACATATAAAAACAGCACATATACCACCAGTGGCATACAGACCACAGTTTGAAAAACACTGATATAGACTGTAGCCTACTTATATGCAATGTAGCATGTTTTAATTTACAGATTTAAGTAAACATTACTTTGTGCTTCTGAAAAATACAACAGCTCAGTCAACAAATACTTTTACCTGTCATATCTGTACATATAGATATATTTGTTTAGTGTAAATTGTATCATGTTCCCCACACCTGCTCTTCCGTAGATACAGTCTCTATGGCGACACAGGTTCTTTACTAACTCACTTTAGATGGTACAGGCTCAGCCCAGAGCACTTAGGAAACATAAACCTCTCAACAATTCCTATAGATCTGCATACATGTTACACAACTTTATATCATTGTGTGTGCATTGCAGTGTCTCATGAAACACAATATGCTAGCTCTATAGAGACTCTATGCATAATTTATTGGCCCATCTCCTAAAAATAATACCACAAATAGATTCTGGGTCTTTGAAAAGTTTGGGCCCTGTAATGTATTGAATTTATTGTTTTCTTTTTCTTTTTGAGTAATATTCATTGTTTCAACAAAGTTCTCTATGCCAAAGAGAACTGAGGCATTTAAATCCATCTGGGAAATTGTGAAAAACTGACACTAATATAAGTTAGACAGCAATGGACGAGACAGTGTTTGACTCACATGAATAATACATCCTGGAAACAATATGATTTGTAACCTTGGTGCCCCCACATTGGCTTTCTAAATAAGATTATTCTGGCAGTTATGTTCAATTCTATCAGGACCATTCAGCACGGTCTTTGAGAAACAAAATTGCTTCCTCATAATTGTGTAGTCAACTAATAGCTATATCATAACAATTTAGATTATTATTCTAATTATGACAGTATGATGGACAATTATAATATTAGATCAAAATTAATTTAGTGTATCTTGCGGAAACTCTACAATACCCCAATCTGGATGTTGAAATTGGCAAAAGAGCTTTAAATAAGTAACACACCATTCACCATTATCCATCTTGTGCAACATTAAGTCCCTCTAAGCTAATCACGTAAGGAAAAGCTCAAAGTAAAAATACAATTATGTAATCTAAAATAATGTTACAATATTGTAAAATTGTAAAAAAGATTAATTAACTATAAATATGAAGCCAATTGTGGTAAATATTAGTATCATAAAGTAATACTACACACTGAGAATATTCTTATAAAATCCTTACAGAACTTACCTCACATGGTTGCATTAAAGTCCTTATAACCCAGATATAGCGTTCAAATACTTCCTTGTTCCAGCTTGTATGTGACAGTCCTTGTGTAGCGCCAGAGCTCTGCGTATCTCCTCCCTCCTTCACTGCCTGCCTCCACTCACTGAAGAACACACACGCACGCACACCCACCCACACACACATACAACATACTGCAATGTTTTCTTAACAATAATCTCCTACAATAATAATACAAGTCAATATCATTCCAGTAAAGATACTATTATATTTGGGATTTGCTATCTAATGAATTTTACTTAAGTACCAGAACACCAGGTTATGTTAAAGGAAACACACAAGAAAAGGAGTAATTTCACTAGAAAGTAAAGTTGAGCCATGGAAATAGTGGTCACATAATAATATTTATTTTTGTTAAGTTTGTTATCACTGGCACTGCCCCACATGAATGGTTAACAATTTGGGTTAACATATTGGTTTAGGAGGTTTCAGTGGATTAAACAATAACAGCTAAGTTATGTAATGAATAGGCCTATATGGAAGTTGAAACAAAAAAGACATAAGGCAATTTTCTTCCTGATAATTTACCAACCAACATTATGTTCAGTTTCAATTAGAATGAAATGAAGCAAGGGAAAGGGAGGACCACTGTAAACCAAAATACACACAGTGAGTACATGGTCCATCAATTCGGCCATTAGTGACAGTACAAGATAACGATCTCTAAAGCTACTGTACATGTATCCATGCATTTATGCTTCCCAAGAAAGACCTTGGAAATAAAAAAAAACAAACATCCAGACCAATGAGTGACCAAAAGTTACCAACATAATCATGTATATATATATATATATATATATATATATATATATATATATATATATATATATATATATATATATATATATATATATATATATATATATATATATATATATATATAAACATTAAAAAATGTAATCGACTGAATAAAAATATAGAAGTAACCTGCCTCTAGCAATTTGTTGAACATTTGGCTCCCTCTCGTGGACAGATGAGTTACTGAGTGTGGACTGATGGAGCTGAGGAGAAGGTGCGAAATTACCGCTCAAAAGAAAGGTTTCTTGGCGCACGGCAAACAAAGTGTAGCTCACGTCTCCAAGGCTGCCCTAAAAGTGCCATAACCACTGATTTGTTATCAGTGATTTAAATTTGCCAAATTGTTACGGTAATGCGGTGAACACTCGGGTTAGCATACTGCAACAACGTTTCATGTAGCCCACATACTCTTCCTTTACGCGTTCATACTGGAGCTAATTTGTATTTCTTCTAAAATGTGATTCATGTCTTACAGTAAAAGACGCCATTTTAGTGTTTAGCTCTGTTCTGTTCTGTTCTGTTGATTCAGACATTAATGTATCTCACTGTTCTGATCAATTTGCTCTAATTATGGCCGGCTTTTCCAGCCCCAAATTCACTGTGAACTCCAGCGGCAGACTGCATTAAACCAGTGAGAGCTAAGGCCTCTGAGCTGCACTGTCAAAACGAATGAAAGAGGACAGGCTGAGAGTTTTGATGGTAAAACTACATTTTGCGAGATAAAATCTAAATATAGTCATCAGAGTAAAAAAATAAAAATAATAATAATAATTTCTTCAGCTGGAGAGTTATGTGGAGATGTGCGTCCATCAGCACTAGGTCTACAAGGTGCAAAAGGGTGCATTGCTTATTCTTTTAAGTGTTTGCACCCTCATTTGAGGAGAGTGAAATAATGACTCTTAATGGAAGCACATTGCCTTTTCATCCTTTGAAACTCACCCTCAGGCAGATTGGTCTGGATCCAAGTTTAGTGTCCATATACATTTAATAACACTGATTATACTGTCTTCTACCACACAATTTTCTCCAAACAAAAACCCCCAGACAGTTTTATTCTCTCTTCTTAGAGTAGTAAAGAAGAGCGAACACGTCTGTATTGTGCCTGCACAATTTGCTGCTGCATATGATAAATAACGATCCGAGCCAACTGTTTGATGATCTTTACAGACCAAAAAAATTATGTGAGTCTCATAGCAAATAATAAAAGGCCCCGGAGCCATGTTGTCTGCAGGATGAGAGTAAACTTGATAGCATTCACTAATAAGCGTTTTCTCCTCTGTTTTAAAGGGCACAAGTCTGACCCACTTTGTGAGCTATGCAGTCTGGTTCAAGCTTTCTTCCATCATCAAAGCTGTCGTCCAAATCAAATAAAGTAAAGGGAAAAATAACATTCTCCTATTTCCAGCCGCTCACTAATATGCAAGGTGATGTTTTCTGATGCAGCTGAAATGAGCTGACAATGAAAATGGATGGCCTAACAAAACAAGTCATTTTGCATATTTACTATATCATAGCTCACATAATCTTAATAATATACTTGTTATGGAGCAATGTTTCTCATACTGGTATGATTACCATGGTTGGAACTAGTCATTTTCCTCTGCAGTTCTAGTGTTTGCTTATTTCAGAACTGCTGTAGTGTACTATTTTAGACTAGGTTTAGCCTTAGATTAGACCTGAAATAGGCCTAGATTTAACATTAATTTTGATGACTGCGAGTTGGAAGAACCACACTGCTTTACTATATTTATATTGTAGACAGAAGTAAAAAAAAAAAAAAAAAAAGTTGACTGATGGGTCCTGCTGGTTCTGTATTGACTTCCCTTGGGATCGCTTAAGGTCCATAGTCACTGGGAAAGATTTAAACCACCCACTGCCTCCTATAAGCAGAAAATGACTGATATAGTTGAAGTTAAGTATGGGAAACTTTCAATAAATACTCCCAACTGAAACTACCATAGATGCAAGAGTTATAGCCGCTCTCTCGTCTAGTGGGAGGAAGCACTTTTGTTTACAAGGAGATAATAAATTATACCTTAAGGACTTGGACTTAAGGGACACGGGAAGTCTATTTTTGATGGAATAATAATGTGAGGTTATCTAAAAGTTAGTGACGCAAATGATACAAAACAACAGAGGCTGTATTCTGATATCTGTTCTCTCTGGGGCTGCCATTAATCATCCTCTCACCTTTTATGTTCAACGGTTCAGTTAGAGCAAGGCCTTGAACATAAGAAGTGCAGATTCAATATGACTTTTCAGTGCCAACCTTTACATCAGATCTTTAGGAAACAAAATTTTAAGTGAAATGTCAAGATAAGAAAGAATACAAAACAATAGTTTATGTTAGTGGATACAGATACAAGCAATCTTGAACCTGAATCTAGTAGTTATTCTACTGTATTTCATTAGGAGTTCTCACAGCAAATGTATTAGCCTGGATGCCCTTCCTGGAGTAAGCAGCCATGTTACTGTGAGTGGAGTGAAGAACAGGGGCCTTGAGACACCGGCAGTATGTGAGTATGAACTGGACCTGCACACCAACACTGTCTTTTCAGGTTTTTAATAATGTCATTTTTATATAATTTAGACACTTTATATATTATGTGTTATATTTGTATTTTAGTTTATTTGTTGTTTTAATTTTCAGTTAATTTGCTTACTTATTATTTATTTTTGCTTATTAATTGATTTAAACCATGTTGAAAAGTGTGATCTGCTTCCTCATCATCTGGCTGTCATTATTAAGAGTTACTGAGTTCCAGAAGCTAGTCTACCACTCTATCTATGTCACAGCGGATTATTGCACCAAATTACCACTAGTCCAGGGCCATGCCATCACCAGAGGCTGTTATCGTGTGCGCAGTACAGATACTCTCCTTCATTTTCACTTCGTATTGCATTTCTGTTCAGGAAGAGGCCAATCTCCCCCATCACATGGATTAGTGGCCCTGTAAACCCTCTCTAGAGGACACTTCACTGTGGGACAAGGAGCACGGCATAAGCCCAGGCCGTCCTTCTCTGCCCTTTTCCACCCCTGTTTGTCCCCAAGGAGCACCAGCAGTAAGTCTACACGTCCAAGTGGCTCATTTAACTGCATCTGTGAATCAAACCAACAACAACAAGGCCAGAAATAGAACAGGAAAATATATAGGGTAACATCGGTGTGTTTAGGTGCTGAAATAACAGTTTTTAATATTAAGAAAAAATAGGTTTGGAAATACAGTGATTTGCATTATTTACAACTTGGTTTCTACCTATAAAGTGCTTAAGAGGGTTGTTCATATACAGTAATCTGAAAGAAAACACATCAGTTTGTTTATTCAGCCATTTACTTTACACCATGATGCTGTTTCTGCAGCATGTCAAAACAATTCACATGGTTGCGTTCTGCCATGCAAGAGACCTATGCAACAGTGACCTCAGACTTTCCAATAGTTTTGTATGCAAAAGTTTATACAGCAGTCTTGTTTCTTTATGAGCATAGACTGTTAAAGGCCCTATGTCGAGCAAAGTTGACTCTTGTGAGCTTTAAGTCATGTTATAATGTTGTTACTGCCTCAAAAATATACCTGGTGTTGGGTTTTGTTTCATTCACACGTTTGAGTAATCCTTCGTTATTATGCTGTCTATCTCCAAAGCTCAAAATGCTCTGTTCCACCTTGTTATGTCATGTATTGGTAGTTTTCACGTTAACATCTACCTTTTACCTTTTGTTCAGTGGAGATTGGAAATTGTAGGTCTGAAGTCATCCAAATGATTCTAGTGAAGTTGTATGGATTTTAAAAACATAGTGGAGGAGACTTACATTACACTGTGTATGACATCAGAAGGTGGAACAGAGTGTTTTTTGTTTGAGGGAAGGAAAAACAAAACACAACTCCAGGTATATTTTTGATGTAGAAACAACATTATAACACAGATCAGAAAATAGTGTAATTTAGGCCCTTTAACTGACTAATTATGCAACACAGTAAAAATGCATTAGAACTGACTATAGTATTTGTGTTTTAATCTGTTTTGTGACTTGCCTGAAACATGGTTGTTTGTGACAACTGCAGTCTTATCAAGTATTTAGCTCCAAGATGTTCTGTTCTATTATTACAGTTGCGGGAGCGTCATCCTCTCACAGCCCTTCTTTTGGCAATGTTTAAAACCTGTGCACTGTTTGGTCAGACCTGTCCACTGGGAATAGCTTGTGATGCATTTTGTCTTTACTTCAGGCAATGTGGCCATCAAACC